GAGGGTGAAGTGTATAGTACAAGAAGTAGGGATTTGATGATTTCAGTACTTTTTCATGAAGTCCATAATTTATCTGTTTAAAATGTGTTTGAAATTCAGTTTCATCTTAGTAACAGTAAAAACAAACAGCTGCTGGAAACATCTCATCCATTGTGACTAAATGTAATTTTCACTCGCTTAGACTACTCCTCTTTCGAAAGACTCACATCCTCTCTAGTGAAAGCAATGTACATTACAATTCTAAGAATACTTAGGGTAGATAGTTACAGTACTTTACTATCAATGGACACGACTATCAGGTTTAAAGCGTCTTAGTATTTTCAGTTTTTTTCTTGAACATTGCACTGATTACAAAAAGAAGCCAGAGCAAGGAATGGGTCTTAAATAACACTAATGACTCCTCCATGGGTTTAATATTTGCTTCAATCAGAAAAAGTATGAAACCATCAATCACTGATAATATTAACAAAAAGTGAAAAACACTGAAGAGTAAAAAACGAAAAGCATGGTACAATCAACATGCAAGAACAGATATCCCTAATTCAACGATGATCCGGACGATGGTTGGGGGACTCAATCCTTACCTTGCGGAGTCCCCGATGAAACAAAAACGAGCAACATGCCACAGACGTTCAAGACAAAGTATGAGTGAAGTAAGATGATGATCTTTGTACATTTGATACAGACATGGTACAAGTGAAGAATGGACAAAACACAAATCAATCAAGACAGGTAAAAAACGTGCTCCATGCATCGTGCTCTGTACATATCAAGGTTCTTCGGTCCAGTATGATGATCGACGCAGCAACTTCAACTTGAAATGAAAAATGACTTCTTAAAAATACCCTACGACTATATTTAAAGTTTGGTTTGGCTTTGGGAGAAAATTGGAAAAAATTAAAACTCTCAAACTAAAAAAAGGGAGCGAATCTGAAAAAGACTACTCTTTGGCTACAAAAGGAAACTTTAACCGACACTAGCAAAAATACTACACATTTAAAACAAGATAATGTGACTAGAGACAACAGAATTTATGATTTTAAAAAACAGACACTTCCATAGAAAATGGATGAAATAGTTTTCAACATGAAGGCTGGATGCTTCTCCGTTTCTTCCCCTAGTTGTTCAGCCCCCAAGGCAAAAAAAAAAAAAAAACACTACCAGTAGCTACAAAATGTTTGGCTAGAGAGAGTTTCCACAAAGAATGATTTGGATTAAATTTTGCGATAAGGAGCCACTATTCCTGGCCCATTTTAGAAACAAAATACATGCCATTAGTTTCTTTATGCAGATATGTGCTTTTATGGGAGAGCCAGAGATAGTGGTTCCTTATTGCAAAATGCAATCCATTTAAGAGTCCTCTTGAAATACTTTGTTGATGAGATATGTAATCTCTCTGTGTAAATTCTAATTGATGTTAACTTAAACGAGATGGGAAGGAGAGGCACAAAAACATGTACCAGCCTTCATGGTAAATGTAAGAAAAACCTAACATGAAAACAGCATTCAATGTGTGAAATGTGTTTGATACAGAGAAAGAAAAAGAGAGAAAGAGAGAGGGAGAGAGAAAGAAAGATAATAAAACTCAAAGGAACATTCCGCACTTTCATTTAATCATTGCAAATTTCTTGGAAAAATGTGCAATGAACAAGAGTAATTTTGTAAAAACAAGCAGCATGAGGAGGAAGAGGGAAGGTAGGTATACGTTGGAAAAATTGAAAGATGGAAAATATTCAAAATATAAAAATAGTCTACGGGAGGAACAATACAAATCAAAGAGCAGGAAATATTCCGAGTTGACATGGAAAACTAAAAACTTTTTACGTGCCAAATTGACGCATCAAAAGAGTAAAAAATATGAAAAAAAAAACGGGGGTAACTTTATGTTGCTTTCCATTTATAAAAAGAACAAAATACTTCAATCTCTTTTAAAAGAGCGAGGGGGGGGGATGTGGAAATAAAAATTTAATGCTGTAAAGGAGCCAAAAGAGATAGGAATTTGCAAAATTAATGAAAGTTCGGAATTGTTGGATGAGATACAGAGGAAAAAAACAAAACAGAGAAGAATCGAAGAAATGAAACTGAACACAAACACTTTGATCAAGCATTTACAACCAAAATATTGAAAAAAAAACAAAAGTACCAAATTGCACAATACAATAAGAAAACTCCTACGGAAGAAATTTGATTGATGCTTCTCATATTTAGATAGTTCGTCCACTGGTATTGGTATACTTAGGAAAATATATTTACAGGAAGTAAAATAATAATGTAGGGGAAACTGAATGTAGTAACTAAGCTTACTATTTCTCTGATTTCACAAATGACATTGAAAACCATCATATCAGGGTATCAGAGATACAGATGGTACCTAAAAATTGTTTTAAATTTAGTAACTTTCAAATTCAGTTGTAACAAGTAAGAGGAAAAAAGATGGGCATTTAAATATTGTTATACCAGAGTGGATCAATGTGCATACATCTACTAAAATAACTTTTATATAAAATGGAGAAATGGATGTATTGTGCAAGATGGTTTTTGTTTCAAGAGCATCAACACAAAAACACGATGTGGAACGATGAAATGATAGTTGAAGAAAAAAAGAGTGGAAACATGATACAAAACTGCCTCAGAAAATGAATTTCTTTCATACTTCGAACTAAAACACTAGGTACGCATTTAATATACGATTATCATGACACGTATTTTCAAAAAGCCGGCAAGTTCGAAAGATTTTGGAGAAAATTTGATAATACGATTTGATTCTAGAGATAATGAAATAATTTTTGAGTTCAGATCAAAAAGCAAGGTTATTTGCTCTGGGAAAAAAGAAAGTAATAATAAAATGACAAGCTAGTTGAAAGTAATGGGACTCAAAAGTTAAACTTTCTTGGGGGAAAAAAAAATCTGAGCTGGCAAATTGAACTTTAACATAAAATATGATTTCCACTCTTCTTTTGACATTGAGCAAAACGAGAGAACAGACAACAAGTATGACGAGACAAATAGTTATGATACAAAAATAGAAGTAGAAACGCCAGTAAAACTTTTAAAATGGTCAAGATTCAATTTACATAATTCAAATTATGGGAAAAAATTGTACAAAAGCAGCAAAACTTTGTGCAGTGAGAGCATTTGATTTATTTCCTTTTACTCATAAGATTTTCAACAAGTTTAATCTGCTAGCTAAATTTTAATAATTCAAGGGCACTTTTAAAGTCCAATTTTTCAATTTTTTTTAAAAGGGTTATAGTTTGGTGGAAAGCTGCCCTCACTCATCCATAAATATGCTTGATTAAATAAAAATAATCCGAGAAAGTAACTAGCAAAATTATCACAGAGGATTTTCGCAGGGTCAAATCAAGGGGCTCAAAACGCTACAACATCTCCTTGAAAGAGTACTCAAGAGGCTGAATCTACAAGCCGAAGATAAATTTTGAAAAACAAATTATGAAAGGTAAATATGATGAAATTAATGAACTGACGAGTAATTGATTGGCTTAGTTATGTTATATGTTAACAATGACGATGAGTTAGATGAAATGATTTAGATATATGTACAGTATATTACATCATATCGACAATTCATGGTTGTATCTTTTTAAAAATATTTTTTATGCAAAATATTGGGGAGGGGAGAAAAGGGGATAGAAGATAAATGATGATTATAAGCTTTAAGAGAGAAAAAAAAGTCGCCAATAAATTGGTTGGATGGGAGGAATGACAATCAAAAATTATTTGTTCAATCATTTGTTTTCTCGAATTATCTTTTACTCGATTTTTTTTAAAAAAAAAATTGTGTTTGATGTAAAGAAAAATAGACAGAAAGATATAAAAGAAAAAAGATTTAGCTAAACTGCTATTCTGTTAGATTTGGCTGAGATCACTTGTCGAAATAGTACTTTTTAGAGGTAAGAGTAAAAAAAATAAGTGGCTAAAAATAGTGACTGAAATAGAATAAAAATGAAAGAAGGGGGTTTTAAAATTCAAAAGAGGGATAAACAAGAGTCAAACGTGGAGAAATAATATGGAGGCAAAACAAAGAAAGAATTGAGTCACGATACTATTAGTGCTAGCATGAAATTTTCTCTAGAAATGTAAGGGGAGTATAGAGTGAATACATACTTCCTACGGACAAAAGGGATCATTCATAAAATACGTAACGCCCTGGAGGGGGAGGGGGCAAGGAGAGCATAGCGAAATTTTGTTTTTACGTGATATAGGAACTGAGGCGCAAAAGCGTTGTGAGGGAAGGGGGTTAAAAAAAAACTGAAATTTTGTGTTACATATTTTATGTAGAACTTACATCAAGTATTTTAAGTGAGTGAGTGAAAAAAGATAAGGAACTGAGAAAATATGAAGTCAAAAGAAAAGAAAGTCAAAACTTCTAGTGACAGAGATTAACAGGAAATTTTTTTTTTTTTTTAAGAGTAAATTACGCGAACTCCTTGCCCCATTAGTAAATTTGGTTCGTTACCTCATACGAGTAAAGAGAAGGAGAAAAAAGTAGGATATAATAGAAAGAGAGAAGAAATTATGCTACCGCTTGAAATCAGCAAAGAAAGTATGGCTAGAGAAAGCCCTGAAGGGAATTGACACTCCTGTTGCTATAAGCATTTTTTGAGCCAAATTTAACAGAATTTCATTGAGGGGAAATTCTAAATATACTTTTCAAATATTTTAATATTTTAATTGCTGCATTAATTCATGTTTTTGTTAGAGTAAAATTGTTGCAAAAGAAAGACTGAGAATTTTAAAAGTTTTACTAGAGTTTGAATGTGAGAAACGAGAGGAAAAACTTTTAAAAATTGTCAAAAAATTCACGGACGTTTATGGGGTAATTTACTTCAAGGGCCTGAGAAATAAAATTGATGCTGCAATAATATCAAGTTTCAGGTATGGAAATAGCTGCTCCTCTGGTTCACGATGAATGTCGACGAAAAAATCATGCATTGAAATAACAGGCAACATACACAAAAGAATCAAAATGCAGTTCCTACCTTGAATCAGCAAACATCCAGTAAATGGGTCACCCGTATAGCCGGTGATGCATGTGCAAATGGGAGTGTGGTTGATGACAGAACACTGTGCGTTGGAGCCACAGGAGCCAGGGCAGGGGTCAGCACACTTCTGATTGATGCACGCCAAATGACTGGGACATTCTGGATTGATCGTACACTCTGGACGACAATTTGGTGGAGTTCCTATGTAATTCAATGAGCAAGAGCACGCTGGGCTGTCCCCATGCACTCTACACTCTGAATTAGGGCCACAAGGAGATGGAATACAGGGATTTGTTGGCACTGGTGGCGGCAGTGGTTTAGCTGAAATGAAGATAATAATAATAATTAGAGAGATGCGTAAACTACAATAACTCATCTTATTGGATATTAATAAAAATATTCACCTCAGGGTTACTGTTTACAGGGTCTGATTAAGAGCTGTAGCTAGCACTGCTGTTGAATCAAGCGTATATAATTTTATTTTTAAGTCAGCCCCAGAAAGCACAGCCGTATATGAAAGGTGGGGCTCAACTTTCTACGGCAATACACTGTTTTGTTGTCTATCTCTCTCACACTCAATAATTAGATGCAGCATTGGTGGACCCTTCAAAGGGCCTTGTGAACACTCACACAAGTGCAAAAACATACTATCAGTTTTCAACAGTTTTCTTCCCGATTTTGTGGAATCTTTCAAATTTCATTCCTGAAGAAATTAAATTTTTTTATTCTCATTTTGTTATCTTCTTATAATTTATTACGGAGAAACTGTTTCATAAGATTTTCACTGACCTAAAAGATACGTATTATTCCGAGGAGGACAAAGCTGATTTGAAGACAGCAGGAAATTTTTACTAAACGATGAACTAATAAAAAGCTGCAGCTTGTGATTTTGTATGATACATAAAGGCAAAAATGGCAACAAATTATAGTGAAACTTACATTCATAGCAGAGACGGAATGGATCCCCAGTTAAACCAGGTGGACAACTGCAAATCGGATTGTGATTGATAACTTGGCATTTGGCGCTCACACCACAAGTTCCAGGACAAGGATTGACGCATTTGTTATTTAGACAAGCTTGAGTCAAGGGACATTCAGCACTGACCACACATTCTGGGCGACATGACGGAGGAGCACCAATCAATCCTGGTTGGCATGAGCAAACAGCGTGAGCGTTTACAACACGGCAGATGCTGTTTGGTCCACATGGATTCGGGTTGCAAGGGTCACGGGGTGGTTCGTCTAAAGACAGATACAGAAACATTTAGAATTTAATGTAAAGGGGGTTTGAGGAAAACTATTACAAATACTGGATTCTTTATGAAATCAGAAGAGGAAGTAGGTTGAAAATAAAGTTCTTAGTTGCATTATTCTTCGTAGAATGTCACATTATAAAGGGTAAATGTCAGTAATAACAAGCTTTTCTGATTGAGCTTAACACTTTGTTTGTCAAACTGAGCTGTTCTTTGTATTATTTTCATTTTGAAAGATTACGCTGACTCAAATAATAATAAATGGGGCATTCAGAAAAATACAGATAATGAAAGTTTAAAAAAATAGGTATGTGCTCTGAAATTGACCTAAGCACAGAAATTAGCAAAGAAAAGCCAAAAGAGATAATGACTTACGTTCCACAATGATTGGGCGGCACGCGACAAAGGCATCACCAGATGTACCAGGTGGACAGGTGCAGGTTGGAATATGATTGATAACATCACAGTGTGCATCTTGCCCACATGTTCCAGGACAAGGATCAACACAGCGTTGATTGCTACAAGCCTTGTTTCGAGGGCAGTCTGAATTCATGGTGCATTCTGGACGGCAACCAGAATACGGGTCTCCAAAGTACAGAGGTCGACAAGTGCAAATGCCTTCATGGCAGTCAGCATTCGCTCCACACGGTGATGGATTGCAAGGATCCTTTTCAATTGGAGTTTCTTGAACTGGAACAAAAGGAACATTTTTGTTACAGTCTACATTTTTCAGAGGAGAGAAGACAAAATTATTGATAGTGAGATTTCCGAGAGTAAGATACAACATGGATTAATAAAGATTTTTATTGTAAAACGTTTCAGGAAAAGACTCAGAACTTAAAAATTTTACTCAACTTGTTTATCTTTCTTCGCTGAGTTTTGAAGTTTTCATAAGAACTTAGCTCTAGAGTATTTTTGAATTCAAGGGCAAGCAAAAAAAGGGCGATTTGGCAAAAATTATTTATGATACACTCTTAAATACTTAAATAGTCATATTTTTAGTAAATAACGGTAAATACTCTCCCTGCGTCCCATAAATTACAGGGATTAGAGTGAAAGTATAAGTATTGACATCTTACTTATAATGGAGCTTCAATAATTAAGGTCTATTGAAATGATTAATCTCCCTACAGTTACACTTTTTATTTTCTCTATAGTTTGTTTTACATTTAAAAAAAGAAAAGAAAAGAAATAAGGGTGTCGAGATTTTTTCTAAAACAGTGTATATCAGCTGTTAGATAACTTTAAGTGAAAATAACTTACTAATGATTGGGGAGCACTGAGTGAAAGGATCACCCGTGTAGCCCTGAACGCAAGAACAGATAGGAATGTGGTTTTGGACGCGGCAATCAGCATAAATTCCGCATGAGCCTGGGCAAGGATCTCTACACTTCTCTGAAATGCAAGCAGTGGTTGGTGAACAGTCAGTATTGACGCTGCATTCTGGGCGGCAGTTAGGAGGTGAGCCAATGTAGTTTGGCCTGCATGAGCAAGCAGCTTGGTTGTTAACGATACGGCATTCAGAGTTTGGTCCACAGGGTGAAGGAATGCATGGGTTGATTGGAATTGGTGCAGCTTGTGGTGGAGGAGGAGGAGCTGAGAACAAAATAATCATTAAGAGTTACAACTTTGACCGGAAACATATCAGAAACATACATTTTATCTCCAGAATATTTTATTCTACCTCTAACTGAAGTTTTAAAGCATTTTTTATAGCCTGGACTGATACGTAAATAAACCTCAAAACTTTTAAGTTTATAGCTGCTTCTGATTTCTGTTTTTAAAGGAGATCCTTTAAAAGTACAAAGGCTACAAAAAATAGGATAAAGAGAAGGAAACTGAGTCAAAAGTATAATTCACTAACAGAGTATTCATTGAAAATTTAGCATCCACTTCAACAGTCAAATCAAAAAAGATTTTATTGTAAATTCTAAACTTTTTTTTTAAAGATTTAGGAATCGAAAAGAAAATGAGGGATTTGAAATACAATCCTGGATAATATTCATGAAACACTTAAGTATAGGACTCACCAGGTCGTACACAACGTGTAAATGGATCTCCAGTGAGACCAGGCGGACAACTACAGATGGGGTTGTGGTTGATGACTTCACAACGTGCTTGCAAACCACAGGTACCAGGACATGGATCACGGCACTTGTAGTTATGGCATGCTTTTGTCGGAGGACATTCACTGTTGGTAATACACTGTGGACGACAATTAGGAGGAGAACCTTCATAGTGAGGTTGGCATGAGCAGACAGCCTGCTCATTCACTTCCCTACACTGACTATTCGGACCGCATGGTGATGGATCACATGGATTAATTACGGTGGCTTGAGTTGCTACAAATAAAAAACACACAAAAATTGTGTAATTATGAATAACATGAGAGACAAAAAAAGTATTCAATATGAAACAAACGTTTTTCTTTTTAACGCTTTAACATGGAGGTTAGCCCATTCAAAATACTAGCCAAAAGTATTCTCCAGACATGGTAGACATTTCTCAAGAATAATATAATCTGTGAGACCAATGAAGCCCTCAAAAGTATCATCAGTAAGACTCAAGCTCTAAACTTGTGGTTTCTCCATCTACTTCAACAATACTACTGAAATGCTTAACTATCTCAAATTGTTTTCAGTTGTGAAAATACAGAAAAACTCGCTTGTCCGATGCATGTCAGCACTCTCAGTATTGATGTACATGCAGCACATTGTAAGGAATGCCCTCTTTTAGTGCCCTAAATGGAACTTATTTCAACACTTTTTCCACTCAACAGCTGTAACAATTATCTTAAACTTTCATTTCTATCAACCCCTGTCTAGTTGAAGAGATGCTTTTTTACCAGCCATGTATTGAGGAAATAAAATAGTGAGCGAGTGGATTTAGCAGCTGCTGAACTAAAAGTATCTTACCAGGAGGTGGTTGAGGATAACAGTTGATGAATGGATCGCCAATGTAGCCAGGAATGCAGTTGCAAGTTGGAACATGGTTGATGGTCGAACAAATGGCGCTGGCACCACAGACTCCTGGACAGGGATCTTGGCATTTGTTGTTGACGCAGGCTTTATCTGATGGACAGTCTGAGCTGAGTACACATTCAGGCCGACAACCTTCGTACGGATTACCATGGTAGTCTGGGATACAAGAGCATGATCCAGCATTGTTTTGTTGCTTGCAAATGGCATTAGCACCACAAGGCGATGGCTCGCATGGATTGATTGGTTCTTCTGTAACATCGATAATAAAAGTATTAAAGTAAGGGGTCTTGTGATACTCTTCACGATTCTTTGAAATTCTTCACACAGTTGAGCTTGACAAAATTCGCCTCCTTATTTGAAAGGCCACTTAAAAAAAATGTTCCTTCAATAACTGATTGTGGCCAGTACTTGAAGACAAACTTTTACTTTCACTAATCACTTAATGTTTTCTTTCCTCTCCCCAGGGGCAGAGATTATTACAGATTAGTCAAACAAATATGTAGACTTGGAAACTTTGGTTGAAAAAATAAAAAAAAAACTTGAAGATTGTACTCATGAAATTGGAATTGGGAATATGGATGCGAAGAGATTTGAAATTGAGTATCTGACTTACGTTGTTGAATAATGCATTGGACAAACGGATTCCCAGTGAAACCAGGAGAACAGGTACAAGAAACTGCATGAGAAATGACTTGACAGTTGGCATTGATACCACACGATCCAGGACATGGGTCAGCGCACTTCTGGTTGATACAAGCTTGGTTCGATGGACAATCTGGATTGATGATACACTCAGGGCGACAATTGGGTGGGGAGCCAACAAAACTTGGTAGACATGAACAAGCAGGGTTTCTGCCATTACGAACTTCGCATTGAGCATTTGGACCACAAGGTGAGGGTATGCATGGATTTAGAGGCTCTGGTGGAGATGTTGGCGGAGGTGCTGAAGTGAAAAAGTAAAAAAATAACATTACCTAGCAGAATCTAAATGGATTTCTATTCAAGGATTACAATGTTTTTGTTTTCAGAAGATACAAATTTAGAAAAAAAATGTTTACTGTCGGTGTGCATTTCAAAAAATTGGATTCAAAAACCAGATATTGTGAGAAACCAATCAGAGCCAGTGAACATATAAGCGAAAAAAAGCCACGCGCAATTTTTTTTTTTTTTGTTGATAAAAAAGCTATGGCACAATTTCTTTCCAATTTTTAGGAGATGAATAAATAGGGCAAGGGACCGGCAAAATATTAATTTCTGAAAAGGTCATTAGTTCTCCGTATAATAAGTGAGCCTACTTATAACCGAAGAGTATCATGTACCGACAATTAAATAAGTTGAAGAAATACAATTTTCAGAAAGTCTAGGTCAAAATTTCAAAACACACTCTGCCTCCTAAATATTTAACAGTATTTGACTAAGAGATTTAAAATGAGTAAGTTGATAAAATCACGGATACTTACGTGGTAAATCATAACAGCTGCGGAATGGGTCTCCTGTCTGACCTGGTCGACACGAGCACAGTGGGCTATGGTTGATGACTTCACACCTGGCACCAATACCACAGACACCAATGCAGGGATCAACGCATTTTGTGTTGACACATGCTTGTTTCTGGGCGCATTCTGCACTGACGACACACTCAGGTCTGCAATTAGGAGGCGTACCGATGTAACTTGCCAGGCATGAGCAGACAGCATGACCTTCCGCAGGGCGACATTGACTGTTAGGTCCACAGGGAGATGGGTTACATGGGTCCACAGGCCTTGGAGGTTCTGGTGACAAATAATAAAAATGAGATATGGAATGTTCGAGAAACAAGGGAGGTAAAATACGAGGCAAAGGGAACAAAAATATCTACTTTTCGAGCTTTCAAAGACAAAGCTGATATTAAAGGTATTTGTAGATTCGTCTTGGGGGTCCTACATACTGAGTATGCATTTGTACATACATGCAAGGTATGTATTTTTATTTGCATTTGCATTTAGTTTTAAATTAAGTAAAGCATTTAAAATTATATAGTCTTGAAATAACATGTGTGCGGTAAAAAATTGAAAAATAAGTGAGATGCCATGATTTCTTGACTGAATCTTTTAGGTCTAGGCATTTTATAACTGGGAAGCTGCGTTAAACAAACCATTTGGGAGGTAGTCAGAAAAAGGTAACGTACCAATGGGAACTGGTCGGCATAAAGAGAATGGATCTCCAGTGTAACCTTGAGGACAGGAGCAAACAGGAATATGATTGACAACATCACACTGCGCTAATTGTCCACAGACACCAGGGCATGGATCTTGGCACTTGTACCGGATGCAAGCTTTGTCTCGGCTACACTCTTGATTTATGATGCACTCTGGTCTGCATTCTTCGTAAGGGTTACCTTGATATTCAGGTATGCACGTGCAGACACCATCATGGCAGAGTGCATTGGGCCCACAAGGGGACGGATGGCAAGGATCTGCTGCTTCTGTCGGTATGGGTGTTGCTGAAAAAATTATAAAATTTCTTTAGAATGTTATAAACATGGATTAGACAGAGAACATTGGTGGTATGAACTAGATAAATATATGAGATACCAAGATCAAGGTATTGAGATAGCAGAAAAAATCGTGAATTAAGGCAAAAATTTAGTTTCTATGATATCTAGGTTAGTATAAAAATGGTTTAGATGCCTCGCAGTTTGTTAAACCGTTTTTTCGGTTATGTTCTGTGACATCAAAAGATCATGATCTGATTGGTTTGTTAGTTATTGGACTCAACGGATTCATTTCGACAGAAATAAATCTACTCACTGATTGGCACAGGAGAGCAAAGGGTGAAAGGATCTCCGGTGTAGCCTTCAATGCAGGTGCAAACAGGAACATGGTTGGATACATGACACTGAGCGCTGAGACCACAGGAACCAGGACAAGGATCCCTACACTTCTGCTTCACACAGGCTAGTTGAGGGGCACACTCAGCACTGATCACACATTCTGGGTGACATTGAGGTGGAGTGCCTACGAAGTCTGGCAGACAAGAGCAAACTGGACTGTCATTGATGATCTGACATTGTGAATTGGGTCCGCAAGGTGATGGGAAACAGGTCGCTGAGGGTCTTGTTGGAGGCGGTAATGTTGTTGGTGCTAGAAATTGAAAAATTGAGGATAAGAAACTTTAAGAACTGAAGAGAAGCTATTTTCATTTGCTAAATAGGAATGGGAAGATAAGGTTAAGGGAATTTTAAGATGCAACTTGAAATCGCATTGACATAGAAATTTTTAAGACGTACTTTGATTCAAATCTCTATTTTTGAGGCACTTTTTTCCACACTTTTTTTTAAGTTTCCGAGTCAAGAAAGTTTTGCGGTACAATTAATAAATGGCTTTGAGAGTAATAATGGAAAAAATGCTATAGAATAGATAGTAGGACTTATTCAAATAGTATGTTTGATTAGGAGTTCAGTCCGACTGAATTATCTTCTTTGCTGTAATGATGGAATTATAAATAAAAAAAAACTTTATTTTTACACGGCAAAAAATAAAAAACGTCATGTTTGAAAAACATATTTGCATATCGTCATTTGCAAAGCCCCGACAAACAAAAGAAAATACTTACGAATAAGTGTGCACTGGACGAATGGATCCCCGGTGTATCTTGGGGGACACGCACAGATTGGATTGTGGTTTTTGACCGTGCACTGAGCGTGAACGCCACATGTGTTTGGGCAAGGGTTGGCACATTTCTGATTGATACAAGCCTTGTCTAATGGGCAGTCTGCATTGATGTTACATTCTGCATGGCAATTGGGTGGACTGCCAATGTACTGAGGAAGACAAGAGCACACCGCCTGACCGTTAACATTCCTGCACTGACTGTACAGACCACAAGGTGATGGGTAGCATGGATCAATTGGAGCTGCTTGCGTCGTAACTGGAAAAAAAAGAAATAGAAATCCTCAAAAAATCTAGTGGCACATATAATTGTTGAATATTGTAGTAATACTGCCAAGAACGCGAACTAAATCCATCTGGTACACCTGAATGATGAGATAAGTGTAGTGTTGCTGTGAGACTCTGGCTTGCTGAAAATTTTCTGTTTCATCTATTGAAGTGTCTTCGTTTTTTTGAAGAGGTATCAATTGGTCCTTTAGGGAGAAGAAAAGGGAATAAAATAGACATCTCCGTATTAGGTTGCCTCTTTGTGCTTTCATTTCTGAACCTCACTTCAACTGCATTGTTAGTGTATGATTCGAGATCACGTGAAGCAGCAAAGGTGATGATTGTAGATTCATTTGAAAGTACCTGAGAGAGTGGACAGCTGAAGAAGTACACACTAAAGACAAACTTTGAGCGTTGATAATTGGAAAAATAATGAGCTCACGGTTGATTAATACATGATTTTTCGAGATTAAAAATCGAAGATACGGTGAGAAACTAATTGAAGTTTTACGTAAGAGAAGATGCTTACTGATGGGAATGGGGATACAGGAGGACAGAGCATCGCCCGTGTATCCTGGCAGACAAGAGCAAGCGGGCGCATGATTAATAACATGGCACTCAGCATTGTATCCGCATGCGCCAGGGCATGGGTCTTGACACTTATTGTTCACACATGCTTTGCTGCGGTCACAGTCAGAGTTGATGACGCATTCTGGACGACAACCGGTGTAAGGATCTCCGAAATATTCAGGCAGACAAGTGCAAGCACCAGCACCGTTTCTCTCCTTGCAGACAGCGTTAGCGCCACAAGGTGATGGGTTGCACGGATTCCTGGGCCCTTCCGTTGGTATAACTAGAAAATAACATGCAATATGAATTTCTTTCTGCAGTCATAATAGAGAAAGAAATAGGAGTGGACAAATGAATTTTTCACGCAGCCAAAATATTGAGAGGCAAAGATTTGGAAGGGACTTTTTCAGAGTTTGAATGTTGAGTCTAAAGCATGCATATTGAAAAGTCATGTCTGATAGAAATTGGAAGAATTCATAACATTCACCATACATCTGAAATTGTTGTCTTGTGATGATATCTTTAAAAAAAAGTCAATGATATAAAAGAAGGACGACTCCTCATACTGACTTCTTTACTTGAAACAATCAAATTACAGTCACATTTTTTCTATGCTAGTGACGCATTATTGACTGAAAAGTCAGGTATTAAGAAATGAGGAGCTGGGAGGACAAGATGCATAAGTGCAGTTTTCCAAAAAAAATAATATGTTCACGATTTCCAGTAAAGCTAGTATTAATGCATATTCTGTGAACAATTCGCTCCCAAATTCAAATTTTAAGCATCAAAAAGTCAGTTTGAACTTTCTCTCCGCCATAAGGATTCGTGTAATTTCGAAACTTCAAACACGTATTTCTCAAAATAGCAAAATCTCTACTTCTGCGCCTTATCCTCCAATCCCCTCAAATAAATTATCAGACAGTTCTAGAAGACTGAAAGAGACAGAAGATTTTCGAGATTCCATTTGGTTCAACTATAGACCAATGCTCACTCTCTGAGTAAAAATTATCAAAGAAATAAACTTGTGGAGATAACTGAATAAAACACAAGTCTTGGTAATCAACATCATAAATTTGAAGATTAAAATGGCTTACTTAGCGGGATTGGTGTACACCCGGTGAATGGATCACCAGTGAAACTTGGTTCACAAGAGCAATGAGGGGTGTTTGAGACCACGATACAAGTGGCATGATAACCACAAGAGCCTGGGCAGGGATCTTTGCACCTTTCATTGATGCAAGCAAGGTTTCCAGGGCACTCAGCATTTATCGTGCATTCGGGACGACAGTTAGGTGGTCGCCCTATATAGTTCGGTAAACAAGAGCAAGCAGGAGTATTGCCAATCACACGGCACTGCGAATTGGGGCCGCATGGTGATGGTACACATGGATTACCAGTCGGCACATCATGGACAGGAGGTCCTAAAAACACCAAGCGAAGGAGAAACGTGCAATAGATAAAGATTTGTTCCAAGGAAGAGAAAAGATAATTTAAGAAATGCTTTTCAAATCTCCGAAATTCAGGCAGAAAAATGATAATGATAAAAATATTAGGATCAGACAGTTCAAAAAGAAGTAAATCAATCTTTATAAATCATTTTGGGGAACCTAGCATTGACTATAAAAAACTAAAAATCCTGTCATCTACTATTAAAACTCGGTTTCTTAATTATGAAAATAATTTAACCATGTATTCAGTTCCAAACTCAGAATGTTGAGGGGCTCTACAAGTTTTTTTTTTTTTTTTATTGTGATTATTAAGAAAAAAAATTTGAGGTGATATTTATAGACTCAAAAAGCTACCAGTTTGTATTTATTAATGTTTTACGAGGGAGAAAGGAGATTAAAATCCGTCAGAATTGGTAATCTGATACTTCACTTTTTAAGTTCTTTTTCATTTTTCATGAGCACTTTCAAAAGTTTGACATAGAGATGACTACAAAACTTTTGATGCTTAAGGCAGAGTTCAGTTTGACTTTTCCTCAGTTGATTGCCAAGTTTTTAATGCAGAATAAATCAGTCCTTTCAAGGCTTGGAAATTAAGAAGGATTCTGATAGTAGATTCAAAAGTGGACATGAGCTATAAACTTGAAAAAATAGACACTTTGCGGTAAAATGAATAGAGAAGAAAAAATAGAGAGCAAGTCGGAAGACAAAAGCTTACTTTCTTTCTCACAGCGCAAGAAAGGATCCCCTGTATAACCAGCGGGGCAGCTGCAAATTGGATTATGATTCACAACTTGGCAGCGAGCGAGGAGCCCACAAGTGCCAGGGCATGGGTCAGTACATTTTTGGTTGGTGCATGCTTTGTCTTGGGGACACTCAGAGCTGACAACGCATTCTGGGCGGCAAGCAGGTGGAGAACCAATGTAACCAATTTGACAAGAGCAAACGGCATGACCATTTACTTCGCGACAGATACTGTAAGGCCCACATGGTGAAGGAACACATGGATTTGGTGGTTGCTCTGGGATATCTGAGAGAGACAGAAAGAGAAGAAGATTTGCATATCTAGGCATCTTTATGATGATAATAAAAAAAAGCTTACAAAAAGAGCAACCTGTTCTTAAATTTCAAGTTGAACATTAATGATTCTATAAAGAGGGGGGGAGGAGGAACGGATCATCTTAACTCTTGATTTAATGAGAATGTTCCCTTGGTTTATACCTCACATTGAAAATGTGCTGAGCTTGTTTAGAACTAATAAACCTTAAGAGAGTTTAGATAGAATTTAATGTTACATGGTAAATTAAAGAAATAGAAAGACATTAAAGAAATAAAATTATCTTCTTCTTCAGCTTTAGTTGAGCTGGGAAACTGATAATTATAGTGAACAAATTTGTCAAAAAGATGTTAAAGTACCCTATCACTGAGGGATAATAAAATTTTTGTCTTGTTCGAACTGCTACCTGCTTCCTACATGCCGCTGAATCACTCAACTCATACAAGCAAGAGCATTATATAAAGTCTTCTTTCAATACTGCTCAAAAAGAAATTAGTCACTTGCTTAAGATATAGCAACTGAAGATTTTGCAATGAAAAAGAGAGAGCAGTTGGTTTTTAAGGATCATCGTTTTTACTTGCTCTTCACTTCAGCAAAGTTTAGACCAGTGGTTGAGATAAGAGGATATAAATAGGCAGCAAAGTTCATCTTGTTACTTAGAGCGTGTATCGAGGGAGGGGCAAGCAAAAAAAAAGTTTTGACAAATTTCACTGAGAAGTAAGGACGGCTTCTCAACTGAACAGAGAGAGAACTTAATTTTAAAATTATGCCCTTTCAAGTGATTACTCACACAAAAAAAAACTGAGGCTAAGAATTCGATCTCACGAAGATGGAAAAAAGAAAACCAGAGAAAGCTTACGTATAACTGGAGGAGGTAGATGGCAAGCGATAGATGGGTCACCAGTGTACCCAGGAAGGCAAGAGCAAGAGGGAGCATGATTAATAACACGGCAGTCAGCGTTTATTCCGCAAGTTCCGGGGCAAGGATCTCGGCATTTATTATTCACACATGCTTTGCTCCTATCGCAGTCTGAATTAATGACACATTCAGGCCTGCAACCAGTGTATGGGTCGCCAAAGTAATCTGGTAAACATGTGCAGGATCCTGCCCCATTACGTTCCTTGCAAATAGCATTGGCACCACAAGGAGACGGATTGCACGGTTCTCTCGGACCTTCCGTTGGCACAACTATAAATGATTAAAACCGATGTCAGAAAAAGACACGTACATGCATTGCCAGGAAAATAGAAAAATAATCAAAAGTATAGAAAAAAACAAGTGTTAAAGACCCTTGTTGATGTATTATAATGCCCTTTCTGTAGATTCAAGATACAAAATATAAGTAGAACAATCTGGGATAAAATTAGAAAAGTTTACGAGGTGAAAAGGTGATCCCGATAATGAAGATCCCCAAAATGCATTTTCTAAAGGGGTAATATGAAGAGTGACTCATTTTCAAAAGGCTTTTCTTTCTTCTGTTAAAAAATCTACAGCCTGGGGCTTGAAATCACAACTCGATGCATGAAAAATTCAGGAAAGTATGCATAGCTTAAGTTTCAAAAAGGAAGACTTTACCTGACACAAAGTCAGATTTCTTTCATTAAAAATTACTTATAGACGGTTTCACATTTTATGAGCAAGAATTTAAGGTTATTCTTTTTCCCCCGTCTTAATTATTATGGGTTTACAAAGATGTTGAAGTTAAATCAAATGTATTATCATACAAATAGGATGGAAAAAAAATAAAAGTATATACTTCAAATACTTCAAGAGAAGGCTGAAAAAGTGTCTTCATCTCCATGCTATGATTTAAGGGCTTTTAACATAAAAAGTCAATGACTAATCAAATCATACTATACTGCCACGACTTTTAGATCACAAGTTGAACACATTTTTTTAAAAAAATGCTAAAAAAACAAGCTCCTATTATTAACCACTATATTATATTGTTCGATATTTTGCCATGAGACCCATTGAGATTTACAGACTTAAAACTAAAATCCAGTAAAATGATAAAATTTTGTTGTAGTTATTGTAGACATAAAACCTTCTGGCTGCTATCATTTAATACGTCATAAGTGAGAGTTACTGATAAATATAAAATCCTAAATTTCAAAGTTGCATTGTGGGAACATTGAGTCAATTTGAAATAAAACATAGAGCTAAAAATAACAGTGATATGCTGGGCTAGATATCCTGATTCTTTGATGTGCATACTTTTTTTTTAAATACTGCTGCAGAATTGACAGGAATGGAACACAGAGCCCTGTTCTTAAGTTATTTGCAGTTGATAAGACTATTGAAAACATACAAAAGAGGACGCAAAGAGGGAATTTGATTTGAAGTCCCTATTTAAGGATTCAACGACACAACTTGACCAAAACTTTCAGTTCCATTTTCTCTACTGATTCAGTAGAAAATAACTTTGAACAGGCTTCTAATTTTTTTTAATAATAGCCTAGAAAGGTTATTACTTTGAGAATAAATCAACATATCGACCTAAAGGTATTTTTTGACCAATTGGGCGGTAATACATAATACACTTGTAAAAAACTGAAATTCGGCGACAACTTAACAGAATACGTAGAGTGTAAAAAAATAAATTATCTTACTTTGCTGAACATATGCACAACCAGCAAATGGGTCACCAGTGTAACCTGGTAAACAGGCACACTGAGGAGCATGATTGATTACAGAACAGGTTGTGTGATGGCCACAAGAACCGGGACAAGGGTCCTTGCAATGCTCATTGATACACGCTTTGGTGCCGATACATTCAGCATTGATGGTACACTCGGGACGACAATTTGGTGGTCTACCCACATAATTTGGGAGACAAGAGCAAGCCGGAGTGCTATCTGCAGCAGTTTTACACTGAGAGTTTGGACCACATGGTGAGGGCACGCACGGATTTGTATTTGGACGAGGCTCAGGAGTAGCAAGTGGCACTAGAAAGACATGCGATTGTTTCAGAACATGCAAATTTACAGATTTAAGTAAGAATAAGAATAAGTTAAACCAAGATGAGAAATATTGAAAAATTGAAAATTAATTGTTAAAACCAACTCAATGATTCATGGGAACCCAGGTAATGATTTAATACACATTGAACCAGTTCCAATTTATGACTTATTAGTGGTTTCACCAGGGCTACTTTCAGAAAATCGAATCCACAGGAAAAAGATAAAAAAGTGAATACTATTTAGTTCAGTTTTACCGTTGTAACACTCAAAAAGAAAAGCAAAAGTATGACCGATGAGAGTTACGCTTGGAGGCATGGTACCAATTACTGAAATTAATGCTGCCATACTTCTGGCATTATTTTAGGGTGTCAAGAGTTCTGAAATAAAAAGTGAACTACCAAGAAAAGTATCAATTTCCTGTTGATTTAATTTTTTTAAAATAAAAAGAGTGAAATCCAAAACGAGTCATTAATTGAAACAGGCTTAATCTATACTTAAAAAATGCCAGGATTCCCCTTAGTCCATTTATTGAAGATTATTCATGCAAAGTTATTTTATGTACAAGTAAGTTTCAAAATATTGACTGAAATAGAATTTTTTTGAACGGTTGGAAACTGTTGGACTTAAAGCTGTTTGATGAAAAAATATCAAACAGTAATGAATAGGTTTCAATCTTCTCTTTTGTCTTTTGTGAAATTGGTCACAACTCTAAGCGGAAAGCTAGAGCTCTTAGAAGTAGCAAATTTTTGGTCACACCAAGATTTTGGACTTTATTTTCTCACCTTCTGATTGGGATGAAATCATTTTAAGCAGGTGTGTCTCAATTAAGTGGGACCAATTTAAATAAAAGAAAGATGTAAACTAGTGATTTTTGATCATAGTTTTCGATGGGGTACTGGCTACTGTTTCTTCTTGAAGGCATCAGCTATAGAGAATTTGCTAATGTCTATAAACGAAGGCCAAATTGAGAACTGAAAGTAGGGTAATTGATGCTCTGAATTCGCACTGCTGGCCGGAGAAAGGCTTATAAAAGGCATCAATTAACCATTTACTCGATGTCATTTTGACCAAGTTAGATGTTCAATGAGTTCCTTACTTTCTTTTGTACACTGAAGAAATGGATCTCCATTGTATCCAGGTAAGCAAGAGCAAATGGGTTTGTGGATAACAACCTGACACCTGGCATTAATTCCACAGGTGCCAGGGCAGGGATCCACGCATTTTTGATTAATGCATGCCAAGTAAAGGAGACAGTCTGAGCTTGAGACACATTCAGGATGGCAAGATGGCGGAGATCCAATGTAGTTTTGTTGACATGAACAAACAGCATGACCATTTTTTACACGACAAATACTGTATGGTCCACATGGCGAAGACACGCAAGGATTTTGAAGAGGATGTTGCGTAGTTACAACTGAGAGAGAGTAAAAGCAAAATATTAGCAAAGAAAATCATGCAAAAAGTTATTTAAAGGGTTGAATATTTCCACGAACATATCTGATTAAAGATAAAAAAGAAAGTGGAAAGTTTTAAATTAATTTAAGAATATTTAAACAGATCCACAATGAGTGAACTTTCATGTGGCAAGATTTCTGGGGTCTATTTATCTATGATAACGAGCATATTGCTCTAGAGATCTTTCAAGACATTAAGACCCAATATCCTCTCAAACATCTTTTTTCAGAATGAAAGAAATATTTTAAAACGATGCTTGTCTACAAAAAGATGGCACCACAAAAAATATGTATCTTTCGGCAGGAGAATTTTGTCACAAATTTCTTGCCTTCACTCGAACACTTTTAGCCTCGAACACTTCACTCGAACACTTTTAGCCTCAGATTTGAATTAATTGTTGAGAATAAATTTTGATGACCATTATCAGACGTGCAGAAGGTTTTTCACAAAAGATGAAGTTATATTTGAAGAAGAATAAAAACTTAATGGAGAATTTGCATTCCAAATTTATGTCTCACATGAAATTATATGAACACAGTGAGTTTACAGCATTTTTTTGAACATTTTTTTTATACGAGCAAGAGAGGGAATATCAATGTTAAAGGTAATAATGAGTGATATCACAAAGTGGTATCTCTCATTGAAACACGGGTATCTTGCAATTGGCAGATTTAATCACTTAATTACATATTATTTTCAAAATGGATTTTTTTTTGTAGTTTGTAAAAGTCAGGGGGAGATATTTTTATGCTGAGCTGATTTTTTAGCTTCCATTTAACAACAAAATATTACTTTCAAACAAATACAAATCCTCCATTGCGTAGTTTTCACTTTAAAATCAAATCCAACCTCACACAAGAGGACAGATATGTACATATTTTATAAACAAGAGAGTAGTTAGAAAATATTTACACTTTAGATATTAAAATGTTTGAGCAAGAAAGGTGACTGATATTACGGTGAGAGTAGACATTAAAGTTACAATAGTCTGAACAATAAAAAATTCTACTCTATTCACTTAAATTCTGAAAAGTTCCAACTATATATTGAAGTTACATGACAGAAAAACATCATCGTTGGTTGGGCCAATGAACAGAAAAAAGTGTAAAAACTGATTGCATAAAATTCGAAAAATTGAACTGGTACCAGTAGTTACAGTTTTGTTTGCTTAAAAAACCGGATTGATTTCTGATTTTGGAAAGTACCAGAGCAAGTCTTATTTACTTCAATTTAGTCTGGTGAATCTCACTGATCTGTTTCTTTCCTTGGCGTGATAGATGTTTATTTGTGATCTTTCATTTCTAAACAAAACGTTTAATACAACAAAACTCTCTTTTTTCACTTGAAAATTAGTGTACTCTCACCGATATATCAATCATAGAAACAGTAGGAAAAATGTAAGATATCTTACTGGGTATAGATGGCTGACATGCAACAAGAGGGTTACCAGTGTAACCCGGAAAACAAGAGCAAGAGGGTGAGTGATTAATCACATCACAGACTGCATTAGTTCCGCACATTCCAACGCAGGGGTTGGTACATTTGTTATTCACACATGCATTGCTCCTCGAACAGTCCGCATTGAGAACGCACTCCGGCCTACAGCCTGTGTAGGGGTTTCCAAAATATTCTGGCAAACAAGAACAGGAACCTGCTCCATTCTTTTCCCTACATACAGCATTTGACCCACATGGAGATGGATTACAGGGGTCTCGATGAGATTCAATCTCTGGTTTTTCGACTACAAAAAATTAAATTTGAACATTAAATGAGGTACAGATATTTCTCTCAACAATTTGAAAATAACCTAAATAACCATGACTTATAAAATAATTATACTTACACATCTGGCCAATGGCGATAAAGATGTTGATGATAGAAGAGAAAACCAAAAAACAGATCATGCAAAATGAGAAAATATGCCCACCACTTCCATACAGGCAAAATCACACCCCTTCCAATATGAATTTAGTTTCTTTACCTGTTCCTCTTGACAAAATTAGACTTTTCTCGCGATAAATCTACAGAATTTTAGGGAACCTCCTTTTCAAATTTTGTCAAGTGGTCAAAATTCATAATGGCAGAGAATAATTTTCTAAGGAGACTCATCCTACCTCGAAAAAATTCAAGTCTAGTTCAAAAACTAAACAATTGTTTACCTATCAATACAGCTAAATGATAAAAGAAAATATAAAAATAGATTTGAAATAACTTCCTGGAACGATATCTTACTTTCTTGATGAGGAGAGCAGGCAATAAACGGATCTCCGATAAACCCAGGAAGACATGAGCATGCAGGAGAATGGTTTATGACAACACATGTGGTATGAGCACCACATGATCCAGGACATGGATCAATACAATGCTCATTTTGACAGGCATAGCGACCCTCACATTCAGCATTTATAGTACACTCAGGGCGACAATTAGGTGGTCGACCAATATAATGTTGGATACAAGAACATGAAGGGGTTGAGCCATGCACCCGACAGATAGCATTCGGTCCACAAGGTGATGGGACGCAGGGATCTCTGTGATCTTCTTCTATCACTATTATTGGATCTATAAAAAGAGAACCACGTGCAAATACACATAACCAAATCTGTACAAAAAGGGAGGTAGATAAACGCTTAAACTGGGGACATTAAAGCTTTTAAAATTGAAAAGACTTAGACTGTAATGAATTTACATCAAATGATACTGTCTAAACTGGCAGCTCGACTCAATTTTGTTGAAGGAAGACCATTTGAAGTAGTCACTTGGTCAATAGTATTTAATTAGGAAAAATGTGAGGAGCCTTCAACAAGGGACTGTAGATAAACTGAAATTAATAATTTAATGATAATGTAGATAAATTAATTTTAAAAAATAGCTAAAAACTGTAAAATCAAAGTTTTCAATATGAAAAGTTTTCTTTTTAATTAATTTGATGCGGTCATTTTAGGGAATTTTGTTTCTTCACTTCTTCTAATACTTTGGGCGACTACAGTGAAGGAAATATTAATATGGCTCTTAAGATTAAATAATACTAAACATTTATTTTGGTTGAAAGCTTCTAGAACTGTCTAACTTTTTCAGAGAAAGCGCAGTTCTTTCCTTTTCTTTTTATTTTAAATAGAACGAAATGTGTTCTTACGTTGTTCTTTAATGCAACGGTTGAATGGATCCCCAGTGTATCCTGGTCTACAACTACAAATGGGGTTGTGGTTTATGACTTGGCAAATAGCATAATGGCCGCACATTCCTTGGCAGGGATTTGTACATAACTGGTTGACACATGATTTATCAAGGGGACACTCGGAGCTAACCACACACTGAGGTCGGCAAGCAGGAGGAGAACCAACATATCCCGGTAAGCAAGAACATACAGCATGCATATCCACATTCCTACATTGACTGTATGGTCCACAGGGGGACTTCATACAGGGATGTCGTATGGTTAGAGACACTTCACACGCTAGAAATTGAAAAGAAATTTGAGGATGAGAACGAGAAATCTGCTGACTGAAACGGGCCAAAAGGGAGGAAAAGGGCTTCCTATATTCATCATAATTTTATTATTGTCATGGTGGAGGTAAATGAAATGTTTAGAGACTGAACTTTGACAAAATTTACTAATTATTTACGAGTGTACTTTAATTATGAAATAGTATTAAATGCTAGTCTTGCTCAATGAGAATTGTATGATCAGCTCTTGATTTGTCCGCAAGCCTTTTTTACCATTATAGTTTGTCAAGCTGTTCTTTTTTACTTGAAACGATTTAATCACATTTTTGTTGGTTTTTCTTGTGAACTTAATCTCTCTTTACACACAAAAACTGCCTGATTGAAGGTCTGATGGCTATTATAGTATACATAACTTAAGAAACAAATTAAAATTTCAAGTTCAGGTAAGGGAAAGGGAGGCTGGACTTATATAAGCCTATAATTCTTAGAAAAAGACTCCTGAAATCTCCGACATTATTCAATGTCATAGAGAATGGTTGACAAGGATGATATCAGAATCATAAGGGACTTTTTCTTTCGAGATTAACTTGATTCAAGATTCAAATTTCCTTTACTCACAAATTTTCATGAACACACCGGTTGAAACTATTGGACTCAAATTAGCGGTTAACTCATCAGATCTCTTGTTCATATTAATATTCTTGTTTTATAAAATGGATAGAGTAAGAAGACTCATTTTTAAAATTTGGGCTGAGGAATAAACACCAAGAAAATAGAATAACGAAATAAATCTTACTGGGATCATGCGTAATGGGATGACATGCTACTAAAGCATTTCCAGAATATCCAGGAAGACAGAAGCAAACAGGCGTGTGGTGAGCAACTTTACATTCAGTATTCAGACCACAGGTTCCGGAGCATGGGTTCAAACACTTATTGCAGACACAAGCTTTGTCCCAAGGACAATCTGTGTTGACAACACATTCTGGTCTGCATCCTGTGTAGGGGTCACCAAAATATTCCGGTAAGCAGGAACATGACCCGGCACCACCATGTTCGCGACAAATGGCGTTAGGCCCGCAAGGTGATGGGTGGCAAGGATTTATTGGCACCAGTTGAATTGCTGCTGAAAGCAATCCCATTAAGTACTCAGTATTTGTTTTTGATTGGTTTCGTTGCTCATCGATGAATTGGGCTGTTTTTTCACTTGGTTTCTAACATGCAAAGCAATTAAAAAAGCAATTTCAAGCAATGCATGAAAAGTTAAGGATACTTACCTGGAGATGATGAAGTACAAAATGGATGAATAGATGACTAATTAGCAGCGATACAAATTAAATAGATCTATTTCTACAGATAGATTATCAAATACTACTACAGTATGTAAATGGCTTACAAGATGGAATGGAGGCTCTTATTGAAGATGGATTAAACAGATTGTTTATTTTCAAGATGAGATAAAAAACAAAGTGAAAGCTTGGTGAGAAAATGGCTCAGTTTCCCAAAAAATTATTACCTGTCCCAGCAAATATATAAGAATTACCGAGGTTTTTAAAAAAATATATGGATCTGAATAAAATATAAAAAAGTTGGAAAATTTTCCATAGCTGATTTCTTTCCTTTGAAAAAAAATATAATCGAATTGGAAAAATGTGAGTTACTTCAAAATCATAAATACAGGTAAAAACTTATAGGAAACTGATGACGTCTTACATGGCTTGAAAATCTACGGTTAAATTGATTCGATGGCATGGTATTATAGATTGTGTGCTCTAATGATTCACACGGTGTTTGGGTTTTAAAGCAACCTTCAAGGTACGACTGGTATGTAGACATCAAAAATCTTTGATGTCAACATTATTGATGAGTTTGCGATGCAATGATTCAAAGAAATCTAAAGAAAATCTATGAATTGTGGAGAGAATGACTGAATAAAGGCACTAAAAAAAATTTATGATGATGAGCTCAAAATAATGTATGTTAATGATAGGGTGTCTCATGGCAAAATGGCGCGTGATATTATAAAACTACATCATGCAACATATGTTGATAACAAACAAATACAACTTATCATAGAGTTGCAACGATTGAAAACAGTAATGTTATAATAGGAAAAACATTTTAAGAAATTCATCAAGTATGATCTAAAAGTCAGCAGTAAAAATAAAATTACTTTGAGGGAAAATATTGAATTTTTCAAGAGATGAGCACTTATTAGACGTATTAAACTGGACAATGCCCTAAAATCTACCAAATTCCCTCCCCCTTTTCCAAAATTAGGAGGTGTGCATTCTATTTGAATGGATAGGAATACAGGTAGTTGGGATTTGTTGTACAATGTACAATTATCTTACTTGATAAGGAACAAATGAGAGATGGGTTGCCGGTGAAACCAGGTGGACAGGAGCATACTGGCACATGATTAATTGGTCTACAGGATGCTTGTGTTCCACAGGCATTACGGCAAGGATTTTTGCACTTGTTATGGACACATGCACGGTTTGAAGGACAATCATTATTGTTCAGGCACTCATATGGCAGACAGTGAGGGAACTTCCCAAGAAAATTTGGTAGGCAATGGCACACAACTTGGTCCTTAACAATACGACAGACTGTATTCGGACCGCAAGGGTTTGGATCACAAGGGTTTGATTTTGGTTTCTCTGAGCATTCTAACAGAACACACATGCAAAAATGTTAGTCATGCAGAGTTAGATAAAGAAATATTGAAGGAGGAAAACATTTTTACAGAGTTGCCACAAAATTTAGGAAATGAAATTCCCTGACATTTTCCTGATTTTTCTGATTTCCTGATTTTTTCACATTTGAGTGAAATTCCCAGACAATTGAAGATATGCATGATAGTTAAAGAGACATAATTTGAAATATTTTTCACGCAGAATTTGCTGTCCGAGACGTCAGGCTCATTCTAGAAAGGAAATAAGGGTGAATTAAAAAATATTCACTGATACTTTCTTCATTTTCCTTGCCATTTCCAGGTTTTCCCCATCTTTTTAGAATTGCGTGACGTTTCTCGGTTTTCCCCTTGTTCCCTGACGGTGGCAACCCTGTTTTTATCAAGAAAAATCATAATCTAGAAATGAGGTTAGTACTCTAAGTTCAGCAGACACCATGTATGAAACGCACCTTTAAGTAGGGCTCTGACTGTTACAAAATTGGCGCTCTTTTGATTTCTGCTATGCCCTTTGCTTATTCGTAAAATTTTATAGTCCAAGATGGTTGTATCAAAAATCTTGATGGGTTGAACATTTTATGGTGCCATTTGAGCACTTAACGAGATATTTTTGACCATTCTTTCGAGAGAATTTTATCTCATTGAATCATTAAAATTATTTTCATGAGACAAAGAATATGATAAAATGCTTAACTCTCTCAAAACTTAAAAAACTATATTTAGTAAAAAAATATATGCCTAAATAAATCATCAAAAACTCATGGTATTCATTTTGACGTAGAACTGCATTCTTAAATTTTAAAGACAGTAAAAAGAAAAGGAATAGTGTTTCTTACTATCAGGTTTTAGACAGCGTTTCAAGGGATCACCAGAATAGCCAGGTTTACAGTGACAAACAGCCTCGTGCAAGAAAACTTGACAACGTGCATTTACTGCACAGGCTATACTCTGACAAGGATCAACACATTTACTTAGGTAGCAAGTTTCAGTGACAGGGCAGTCAGATTTCATAGTGCATCCTGGGCGACAGAAAGGACTTGCGCCTAGTGAACCAGGCAAACATGCACAGATAGGGGTTCTACTTCTGCTCAGCCTACATTGGCTGAGTGGGCCGCAGGGATTAGGAACACATGGGTTACTTGGTTTAGTGGCTGTTCACAAAAGAGAAAGATATGTTAGTACCTTAATGATGTTAGGACTAAATCCATCAGAAAAAATGATATCTTGCCAGCTTGTTCAGAGATACAGCAGTTTGTAACAGTGTACTTGTTTTGGGGAGAAAGTTTCAAAGGAGATTTTACCTACCCTCATTGAATTTTATCAATAAAATTCTGGCAGAGGGTCTAAGAATTTTTGGGGGTATTTTGGCTCCAAACCAATCAACAGCTTTTAATTAACTTAATTACTAATTAGCTTCTCAGCTTTACTAAAAAACTGGCAAATAAATTGATAGGAGAACCATTGTCACTTGTTCCCTACTCTCTTCAGAATAAATTTAAAATTTGTCTAAGTGCCAGTAGCACTTGGCACATTTTGGAATAAGACTGCTTTGTTAATTTTAAAAGTATCGATAAACAAGGCAGAATCTTATACTTCCTGACAAGTTCATACTCAGTTAGGTTTTGATAGGGAGCGAGGGAAAGAGAAATTCCTTCTTTTCTCTTCTCTTCAAAGATCTCACATATCGACGGTGAAACTACCAAACCACGTATCTCGTTTGCGGTGTTTAAAAATCTACGCTCGCATTTTATTTTGTTGAAGTAGACCAAATCAATATTATTCCTTGACATTTTCACAGAATTTTCTCCGCACGAAGAGGAAAAATCACAGAAATTTTCAAGACTGGACATTAAGTAGTTTTTCATTTAAAAAAGAAAGTATGACAGGAAGTCTGCGACGTCGCAAACCGAGATACGTGGTTTGGTAGTTTCACCGTCGATATCAATTTTGGCGACAATTAAAAGCTAATAATGTATGCATATGATCTATGAATGCTCAAAAGAGATAAGCTGCTAGCTTTACTTGGACTACAGGATACGTATTTATTTATTTTTCAAAGGGGCTGGACAAGGGTAGTTTTTCCTTGATGAATTTAGTCTGTATAGACATAATCACAAAGACCCCTTCAAGTTTCAAACGTTCGTATGATTCAGATCTGACTCTTCAAACCTACCAAGAGTCGAACCAACTATGTGCATGAGCCAACGACTACTTTTAGACCAAATAATATTCGGTTAAGATGGTCCAACAATAGAGAAAACAATCATGATCATAGGAACTAGGCATTTTTTGACACTTTTTGCGAAGGATTCTCAGTGCTCCAGATCCCAAAAGAATATCATTTCTTGAAATGGTTAGAAATGGTAAATAGAAATTATTCAAAAAGGATCTATTTTTCAAATAGTGAAAATAAAAAGAAAACTAATGCCAGCTGTGTTCAGTTGAGAATAAGAAATGAAATAGATATCTACGTCTCAAAACCAACAAAATATTTTTAGTGATGATGATCAACACAAATGAAATGATTAAATATAATGGCTACGTGATTTAATTTCCGTGGTTAGTTTTGACTAGATTGATTAAACACACTTTGTTTAAAAGAAAGTACCATGCAAATGAAAAAGATGAGAACATCACAGACACATGCATTGTGCAATGATTACCGCAAGGTACGGTCAATCAGAAACCAAACTTTTCTATTAATTCTGACTGACCATACCTCGTAACGTTTGAACAGATGAGCACAACTAAAAATCTTCAGGAATAAGAAAAAAGTAATTGGATGACTAATGAACTTAGGTATACATCCAAACTTATCACACAGTGCCATTCAGATCCCTATTGTTTGGCATTTATATTAACGAGTGATGTCATTGTATACTAGCTCATCAGTCAATGAAATAACTTTTTGCTATTCTGAGAAAATATTAGAATATGCTTAAATGTAAATTTTTGAGGATGAGAAGATAGGGCGAGTAATGGGCATTAATTCTTCATTAAAATCCGCGGAGCAGTTAATCAAAGTACCACTTTTGTAGAGGGGTAAGTTACTAATTTCAGAGAAACCTAATCGTTATGTAATACATTTAGAGCCTACCATTGAATACTTTCCCCAATCAAACATACATCTAAATACTGATATAGTTGGTGAGTGGAAAAATATTTTGACTTGATAACTTCAAAGCGCAAACAGCTATCAGAAAGATGGTTAACATGAAGTTACTTTGAATAGTGCCAAGTACTGATATAATATGGGTCCAAATTGTATCAGAGCAAACTAAAATGCTTAGAGGAATTGGAAATAACCATTAAAGATGGATTTATAAATGTACAGGGAGGGATTAAAAAATGGGGGGAGGGGGGGGGGTCAAAAAATGAATTTTATTTTTACTGCTTTCAATCTGCAAAGAACCATTAACAGACATAAAGACATGATGAAAGGCAATCATTCACATTGGAATGTTCATCAGAAAATACTGGAGAGCAGCGTGTATCAATCATGATAAAACACAGGTTAAAAGTAAAACAAGAATAATTGGTACTTGGGAATCACCTGAATAAGTTACACTATGAAAAGAAATACCGATACTTTCCGGTGAAATTGCAGGGTAAAACATTATGATTACTTTAGAGACAAAAATAGTAATGTTTGAAATTTTTAGGTTGAAAATATAAAAAAAGTGATTTCAAAAAATTTCACGGATTTAGGAACATGAACGTAAATGAATTTACGAAAAATTTATGTTATAAATAGAATCAGGGTCCAGCTGAAAGTAAAACTTAAGAGAAAAAACTTGAGTAAACAAGATTGCTGATAAAAAACATGCCAAAATTCTTACCTTGAATTTGATTACAGCCCGAGAATGGATCGCCTTGATAGCCTTCGAGACACGTGCACACAGGTTGATGGTTGATGACAGAGCACTGTGAGTTGAAGCCGCAGGCTCCAGCACACGGATCTCTGCACTTGTTACTGACACAGGCTAATCTTGTTGGGCAGTCCGCATGGATCAGACACTCTGGCCTACAATAAGGTGGCGCGCCAAGCATACCAGGTAGACATGAACAAACGGCACGATAATCGATGACACGACATTCTGCATTGGAACCACATGGAGATGGAATGCAAGGGTTGCCAAGATTTTCGGGTTCTTTAGGAGCTGAAAAAAAAGAAAAAATCATGGTAAAAAATAGCATATCCTAAGCATGTCTTGTACTAAATTGAAAAAATTCCACTTGGATTCCTGATCGAAAGTTCAGCCTAGGGTTGCAGATGAAAATTTCAAAGGTTTTGTTTTAATATTTGCCTTTTTAGATACCTACAAGCCTCTACATATGTATTTCCTTTATTTTTAAAAATAGCTCACAATCAATGAGTTGAGAATCAATGAACTAGACGAGCGAAAAATAATAACAAATACTAGTAACCCTTAAATTTTTCTTGTTAAGGAAGTTGAAAAACGCTTAGATGTACAAAATTTAGGATATGAGCAAAGAGCTAGAGAAAAGAGGAAATTATAGGAATAGGAACTAAAGCTGACCTCTGCAAGCAAGACAAAAACTTGCTTTCTTGAAAAA